TTTGGTGTTGTCATGGCAGCTGGCCTGGCTGGCAATGGATGGCCGTTGTACAATTTTAATAAATAAAATAAAGCCCTTTATGTTATTAAGAAAACTTATTGATATCACTGCGTCTCATTGCTCAATCATGATTTGGAATAAAGGCTAAGCATATGATCAGGAACAATTTGCAATTACTAAGGAAACACTATTCCTCTATACATTTAGGTGCAGCAGTCCACACTTTAGTCACTTCCTTATATGAATCCATACTGTGGATCATCCCTCACCCCCACCCCCAATTCATAATTAATCACGTCATTCATAAATACATGGTGTGGTAATCAAGCCCCTGCCTCTGCCAAGAACTGAACCTGCCCCACACAAGCATATTCATAGAGGTATTGTTCCTCCTCTTCCATTGGGCCATGCAAATCTATAATGTGGGTACACAAAGCCTACCTAATTTCTGTTACCTGGGTGCACAACACTCCAGCAGTGGTCAGTGCACTGGCTGGCTGAGCATACCGATTCAGTGGCCTCTCTATGTCACAGATCTGCTAAGGGGAAAATGTCTCATCTCTGGCCTCACAATGATTGTGAAGAGCACAGCGAACCACAATGATCCAGACAGCTCAATGACACTGACAAATTGAAATCCCATAGGAGATGTCTACAGACCCATTTGTAATTGGGTCTGTAGACATCTCCAGTGGGATTTCAATTTGTCAAAAGCATATTCCACAACCCTTCTGCACCTGCTGAGAGTGTAATTAAACCAAGGCCTCTGCAATCTAGGTACAGTTTCATAAGACAATGCAAAAGAGGGTCCCCCAGAATAACTATGGGAACCATAACTCCATTGATGACCATGTCACTTTGTGGGAAGTGCCCCAGCCTGTCCATGAATGTAGAATCCCGAAAGGCAAAAAATTCTGGCCTCATGAACTTTCCCAATGCAGCTGACCCTGACACTCATAAATCAGCCTCTGTGGTCCATGAGGACCTGTATAACAATGAAGTAGTTCCTTTTGCTGTTGATGTATCATGTGCTTCTTGAGGAGGGAAAACTCTGAGCACATAAGTCCCATCAATGGCCCCGGCACAGGTTGAAAATGTAGGGTTAAGAATCAGTGTGGATGCTCAAGCCCCAGGCTGTCTAACATGAGTCACTTGACTGAAGTCCCACTAACCCTGGGCTTACATTGCAGTGCGGACATATCCTCTGAGTCCAGTCCCCCTCATCTAATAATTAGTTAATTAGTTATCTGAATTTTAACAACGTCAGAAGGTGATACAGACATTGACATTTTGAAAAACATCTCGAAAACTGAAAAAAATAATCAAAAATGAAATGTTCAAAAAAAAAGGTTTCATCAAACAGTATTGTCTGATGCTAAAACTGTTTTTTTCTGAACATTTTCAGACAGCTCCAACACAGAACAAACAATGGGCCAGATTTTTAGAGCTATTGAGCACCCAGAGTGTCCAATAATTTCATCTGGACACAATGAGTTAACTCTTTATCCACTTTATGGTAGCACGGGAAAGAGCTCATGGAAAGATATATCAGTAGAGCTAGTCAGAACGTGTGATCTCCCCACTCCTCACCCCAAACAACTTCAATGAACACAAACAAAAAAGTTTTCATTGACAATTTCCATGGAAAATGTTGACTTTTCAAAAATAAATAAATATGGAATGCCAACACACACAATGTTGGCAGTGGGGATCAAATCTGGGGCCTGTGGAGGCTTATCCATGAGTTGCTGCTTCTGTGTGAGCTAAAAGATACCGCTCTCTTACCAAAGGCTGTAGTACCCTCATCAATCTCCAGAGGACTAGCCACCGCTGGAGAAGGACAGAGCTCCACTTTGAACAAGCAGAGGTTACAAATAAATAAGTGAAAATGGAGATTTTCAGCCAAAACACCTTCAGTTTTCAGTTTTCCAATGAAAAGCCAAAATTTTCTATGGAAAGAAGACATTTAAAAATATTGTCCCAAACTCAAATTTCCTTTAAAAAAACAGTTTTAGCTTAAAAATTTCCACCAGCTCTATGTCACAATGCAAACAATGACAAGTAATTAGAAACACCATCTTTTTTTTTTTTTTTGCCAGGACCTGCATAAATGTTGAAGCAAGCTGCACCTCAAAGCTTTGGCATAAGCCAGTGTGAGTGGGTATAATTTATACACTGAATGGGCAACAAAAGCTGCAGTGGGGAAGTGAGAAAGTGGGTGAGGAGAAGCTGGACCTGCTTCAGTGATCAGTGGTGTAGATGCAGGTCCTTCCTTATGAATGAAGTGATTAAAGATGATAGATGTCATTGATAGATCCATAAGCATCAGCAAAGGGGATCTGACCTCAGATCATTGCTCTGAAGAATATAATGCCCAGAGAGAAGGTGTAATTATCCCCTAGGATAATATCCATATCTAAACTCTTTCCTTGCAGGGTCTGACATATCCTTGTAATTAGTGCTGTGTTTGCCTCAGGGTCCTCTGAGAGATTCTGCTAATTAAACCCTCAGAATATCAGGAAGGAGATGAAAATAGAAGTGATCTCTTAATACAAACCGTATCAACTCTTTAAAAGATACTCTGTCCACCAGAGGTGTTAATGAGTCTTCCAAGCTGGTGGACCCAGTCTCTGGCCTTCTGGCAAATCCATGTAAGTATCTGATTCATTTATCAGAATGGACAGAATGTGTTTGTTTCCTTAGCACTTCATCAACTGAAATGATGAATTAGCCATATGGAACAAATAGGAAAATGTTCAGGACTAATGGAAAAACTCCCACTGATTTTTGTGGAGTCAGGATTTCAGTCTATATATCTAGCTATTGATGCTAAAATCTACTGTCAAGCTATACTCAGAACTATCTAACTATTCTTATCTATATCTAATCTAACTCTTTGCCTTTTTGTCCCTCTCATGAGAGGCTGTCTACCTATCCATTCATACATCATACATTCACTAAGAACATATGCATCGCTTGAGAGACCTATCTATCCATCTAATCACTTAACTCTAGCTACCTGGCTGCATAATGTAAGATCTAGAGGTTCATCCATGTGCTTAGAAAAGAACTTTTAGCTCAGAGACACTATCTCTCTCTCTCTCTCTATCTCTCTCTCTCTCCAATTTCCAAAATAACTAATCCATATAAGTATCAAGTATTCCTGAATTCTATGCAACCACCAATTTTCTAATTTTGTCTACAGAAAGCCTCTAATTTTGTCATGTTTCAAACTTTCTACATTCACAATGCCATATACAGTTCATGATTCCATTATTTTCTAGCTTCCCCACCCCCTTTACATTATTTCACTCATTATAAATGCTGGACATATGGGAAAGTAATTTATTTTCTTTTATTTTCTTTATTGTAAAATGTACAAAAGTTCAAAAATGATGCAACATTTTAATGGAATTCTGTGAACGTTTCATTCATTCATTTACTTACATTATTTATTATAAAATTATATAAATTATCTCTCCTTCCCCCTCGGTGTAAAGGGGACAGTCATACCTCCCTGCCTCAAGGGTCCTATATAGGTATTAATTCATTGAAAGTTGTGAGATTCTCAGATCATATGGTGACGGGAGCCATATTAAAAATATCTGGGTAGATACAATCTCATACCACCCCAATAAGTCCTGATCCTATGAAAATCAAAAGAAATCTGAAACATATTTTTTGTGAATCAGTTCATACTAATGACCTACATTTTCATCTTTCCACCAGGCAAAGGATAAAGAGTGTACTGCCACACCAATTGCATTCATGCTTTATTTATGCTTTATCCTTTTCTTGATATCGCTCTGCCTATTGTGCAATTAACTTCAATGGGAGCAGCTGAAGCCTGCTTCCACTTAAGACAAATCCAAGTGATACTGGCTTCCAACCAAGGCCAAAATTTCAATAGCTGTCCATTTTCTTTCTTCCATAATGCATATTTTGAAAGTCGTTTGGTTAAGGCACTGCAGGGAAAATCAGGAGTTCTATCCTAGTCCCATCTCTGCCACAGATTTCCTGTTTGACCTTGGGAAAGTGTCTATGATTATACAGCTGCTCATGTGCCTATATAACCTCCTGCACTCCCACTGTATATGAGCATCTCACAAACGTGACTGAATGAATTTATTTGTCCAACATGCCTATGAGGTTGGGTACGGAGCTCTGAGAGCCACCCCATTGCTAGGTTTCAGAGCCTGGGCTCCAGCTCAATGTCTACACTGTTATTTTTGGCCCTGTAGTTTAAGCCCAGCAAGCCCAAATCAGTTGACCCAGGCTCCGAGACTTGCTATCCCGGGGTTTTTTGCTGTGTAGATGTATGCTTAAGGCCCAGATCCTCAAAGGGAGTTAGCTGCATACATCCTTTTGAGGGTCTGAGCTGAGGAGCCTTAATCTCATTTCCAAAAGTAATTAAGGGCCAGATTCTTAAAGGTCATTTAAGTATCTAACTTCTATTGAGATTTTAGGCACTTCAATAGCTTTACAGATCTGGCCCCATGGCACTTAGGAGCCAAAAACACATTGAAAATCAATGGGATTTAGGCCCCTAATTCACACACTTTGAAAACTGTACCCAAGCAGTGTTTTCTGTCCCACAAAGTTGCACCCAGGTTTGTGGCAGAGCTAAGGCCAGAATCCAGGTCTCCTTCATCCTAGAGAAATTTCTGTGATTTTTTTTCAAGGTTTTTTTTATTATTATTATTGTTTTAGTTTGAATCCCAGTCCTGGAAACAGTTACTTCTTTTATACCTATAACAGAGTATGTAATAGATCTGTTCAGGCTCATAAGCACTATATCACCTTTGAATGTATGCCTCCTACTGTTGTCACTTAAGTAGTGATAGGGTAGTGAAATGGGGCATGGGAAACCTGGGATGATGATAATGATGAAAGAGCATATAGTTTACATAACTACTTAAACCTTTAATAAACTGTATTATATTTCCAGTAATTTCATTGCAATTTTTCCCCTCAGGTTAATATTTGCCAAATACATGGAGTTGGAAAATCAAACCACTGTGACCGAGTTTATTCTCTTGGGATTTTCAAGTGATCCGCAGCTCCAGATTTTCCTTTTTGTGGTGTTTTTAATCATTTACCTTATTACCCTGGTGGGGAACATGCTGATCATGCTAGTGATAAGGGCTGATTCTCATCTCCACACCCCCATGTATTTCTTTCTAAGTAATTTATCCTTCCTTGATATCTGTTTTTCCACGGTCACAGTGCCTAAGATGCTGGAGAGCTTCCTAGCAAAATGGAAAACCATTTCTGTTGGTGGCTGCATTGTCCAGCTCTTCTTCTTTCTCTTGTCAGGCTGTGCTGAAGTTTTCATGCTCTCAGCGATGGCTTATGACCGATTTGCTGCCATATGCCACCCACTGCATTACTTGGTAACTATGAAGAAGCAGGTGTGCATTCTCCTTGTGGGTGGTGCATGGACAATGGGCTTCTTATATTCCTTGGTGAACACTCTTCCCATGATAAAGTTACACTTCTGTGGACCTACTGAGATCAATCATTTCAGTTGTGAGCTGCCTCCACTTCTACTGCTCTCCTGCACTGAGACTTTCACCAACAAGGTGGTGCTTCTTTCTTCTGCTGTGTTATTTGGCTTGAGCTCGTTCCTCCTCACTCTGATATCCTACATTCACATCATCTCCACTATCCTGAAAATGCACTCTGTGGAAGGCCGGTATAAAGCTTTTTCAACCTGCAGCTCCCACCTTATTGTAGTGGGTTTGTTCTACTCAGCAGCCTTTTTTCGGTACATGAAGCCTACCTCAAAGACTTCATCAGATCTGGAAAGACTGGTCTCCATCCAGTACAGCATCTTAACCCCCATGTTAAACCCTGTCATCTACACACTGAAAAACAAGGAGGTGAAAACAGCTGCATGGAAACTTTTAGGGTAAGTCAGACGTTTCTCAATGTCAGAACTCCTTAAATAGCATGTTAGTAAAAGCATGTAGAACTGAAGAAAACTGGGCTGAGATCTTCCAAGTTGCTAAGGGAGTTGGCTGCCCAATTACCATTTAATTTTAATGGGATCACGGTGTCTAATTGATGTAAGCCCTTTTGAAAATCACAGCTTTAAATCCTGATGGCATAAATATTACACTAGATAACCTGATATTGTGTAAATGATTGAGTGTTTATTTTAGTAACATAGGTATTGTCACACCTTTCAGACCAATGGTCCAAATAGTTTAATACCTTAATGGGATGCCTCACAGGAAGGTATCTCACAGAAAAGTGTAAGAAATCCTGTATTGATGAATTCAAGGTGGAAAATTATATGCCTATAAGGGACATATGATCATCCCAGCCTCATTCACGTGGGCTGAGATGCTTAACCTAAGTGAGTTAGGTACCCCAAACCATTGCACAACAACATTTGGGTGCCTAACTCCCTATAGCAGCTTTGGAAAAACCCTTCCCTTATGCCTAGAAGCATGAGGGTTTATAACCCTTATATATTTACTTCCATCTTATCTAACATAGCAGAGAAAGTTCTCAGCCATATACACATATCATGCTATTTGGAATCCTGCTGAGTTCTTGGATGAATTCCACTTTGAGACAATGTCTCTAATAGGTGTATTATGAGTTGTGTAAGGAAATATTTCCTTTGATTTTATTTTATACATGTGTTTCCTTTCAATTTCACTAGTCGTTGCTTTGAGCTTGATTTCTATTAAACTGTAAATAAGAGCATGCAGTTAACCTTTCTAGATCATTCATTATTTTATGTGCCTTTATGATGCCCCCTCTTAACAATCTCCTCTCTATACTAAACAGGCTTACACATTTCAATTTCCCCTCACATGGAAATCTTTCTTTGGCTCTATTCATCGATTTCACATACATATGGGCCTCTTCTATTTCAGCTACATCTTTTCAGAGAAGGAGTGATTAGAGTGGAGATGCAGTAACTTAGATACTGATATTGGCTAGGACTCTGAGAGGTCTGCAATGAAGTGAAATGTTCAGCTCCAATTGACTTTCAATTGACTTTTTGATAAGGTGACCAGACAGGAAGTGTGAAAAATCAGGACAGGGGGTGGGGGGTAATAGGCTTCTATATAAGAAAAAGCCTCAAATATCGGGACTGTCCCTATAAAATCGGGACATCTGGTCACCCTACTTTTTGATGTTAGGGGACTTTGAAATTCCCAGCCACTCTCATCACTTTCTTCAGTACCTCTTTGACCTCCTTGTTCCTTAGGCAGTATATGATGGGGTTCTGCATGGGGAGGAGGGGCACCACCCTGTAGAACATGGACACCACCTTGTTGAAGTCCACTGAGTCAAAGGAGCACATGGAAGTCATCCACATGTACATGAACATTAAGGTGCCATAGCCATGTGGGATCCACAGGTGGAGAAGCTTTTCTGGTGCCCTGTGGCCTAGGGGCATCTGCAGGATTGTGATGATGGTGAGGTACAAGACCAAGATCAGGAAGAAGGAGCTCACAATTACATTGGTGGCCATAATGAATAGACTTTCTTTGCCTCATCTGGGTCCATGCAGGAGAGTTTCAGCCGGGTTAGCGTATTACAGAATAAATGGCTGATTTTGTTGGCTCCACAGAATGGCTACTTGCACTGTGAGACCAAAGGTGGAACTTTGACCAGGTAGGCACCTACCCCAGAGCATACGGCCTGCAAACAGCAAACCCTGTTGTTCATGAGGGTCAGGTAGTGCAATGTGTTGCAGATGTCTAAGTAGTAGCTGAGGGCCATTATGGCCAGGATAAAACTCTCAGCAGTCCCTAAGGTATAGAGGAAGTACAGCTGGGTGATGCAGTCAACAAATGAGATGTACTTGTCCTTGGCCAGGAAGACCTCCAACACCATAGAGACAGTGTTGGAGGTGCAACAGATCTCCAGGAATGAGAAGTTACTGAAGACGAAGAAGATGGGGATGTGGTGGCAAGAGCCAATGCAAACTATTGTGATCTTGATGATGTGTCCAGATAAGCCCACAAAGAAGAGCAAGAGCTGCGGCTTTAGGAGGCTTGGGAAGCCCAGGATAACAAAATGGGCCATTGTCATTGTGTTTCCACCCCCATAGCTTCATAGTCTGTGATACAACTATAACTTAACAACAGGGTGCCTTGCCATGGAACTTTTGGTTCGTCTTGCCACAAATCCAGGAGCATCAGATTGCGACCGACAGAGCCCGTCTCCCCTCTGCGACCAATCTGGCTGACCACTAGATTGATCTAGACTCTGGACTGATAACTATAAACATCGACTGGTGGGACTGTGTGTGTGTGTATGACTGAAAAGCGTATGCTAATGCTGTATTCTCAATAAATGTGGCATATTGCCTTCTCCCCTATAAAAAGATCTCGTGTGATTTGTATAAGCATAACATTTTTGGTGGAGAATTGCGAAAGGGGGAAGAATATGCTCTGTAATTGTTGAAAATACTACCAAATATTACTAAAAGGCATACCATATGTATAAAGTGATCGATCATTCAGGTGTGCACCCCCCCCGGTCATAGAAGTGCCGGGCAATAGGGGGAGGATTAGAGTCCTCGCTCCGACCTGTCTGTATGGGAAAACTATATAGATAAGATATATACAAACTGTCTACATATATATACACACCCCGTCGTAGAGGTGCCAGGCCATAAGGGGGAGGATTAGAGTCCTCGCTGCTACCCATCTGTCAGGGAAAAATTGCATAGGTGAATATACCCTCGGTAATAGCAGGATCAAGCCCAAAAGGTAGGGGGCTTAGAGTTTCCTCCTCCTGCTCTGTCAGGCAGAGTTCTTTTTAGTGGGTATAGACTTTTGTGTTTTTTAAGTCCCAGCACAAGCGTGGGCATGGAAGAGTAATAAAGGTAAAAGAGATTCATAAAGAAATATTTTCAGGTGGTATTTTCTATGTGAGACCCAACTTTGAAGGATATAGGAGTGTGGGCAAATAGTGGTAGCACCTCTGTAAGAAATGTTTAAAAGGAAGCAATCCAAAGATGATACTTTGTTCAAGACATTACTCTGTTAAACCAAACTCTGAAAGATATAGGAGTTTGGGTAGTGTAGTATTTTTTGTGAGTGATATTATGGTTATTTCACAATTTTGAAAGAAATGTTTACGGAAAGGGACCAGGAGGGGTGGAGGCTAGTTGAGGAGCCCATCCTCCTTGCTAAATTGGTAGTGGAACAAAGCTTGTGCCCATGGAAAGGGACGGTTCAGTGAGGAAAGCAGGATTGGGCCCAGACAAGTAGGCAGGCAACAGATAAAGAAATTGGAAAACAGGTTGGAAGCCCTGAGGGCATAGTGGCAGGAGTAAGGAAAAGAATAAGTGCAGGAATGGGGAATTCAGATCTCTGGGTACGTCTTCGCTTACCGGAGGGTCCGGCGGCAGGCAATCGATGTTCTGGGATCGATTTATCGCGTCTGGTTAAGACGCGATAAATCGATCCCGGATCGATCCCGGAAGTGCTCGCCGTCGACGCCGGTACTCCAGCTCGGCGAGAGGAGTACGCGGCATCGACGGGGGAGCCTTCCTGCCGCGTCTGGACCCGCGGTAAGTTCGGACTAAGGTACTTCCAATTCAGCTACGTTATTAACGTAGCTGAATTTGCGTACCTTAGTCCGAAGTGGGGACTTAGTGGGGACCAGGCCTCTGAAACAATACTTGGAATGATGAAATCTGAGTTGATGAAGATGTCATTTTGGGAAATAAGCAAGTGGTTTAAGGAAAGAGAATGAAAAGTTAACTCTGCAGAGGCTGGAGGGAATTAAGCAGTTTAAAATGTTAAAAAGGAAAAGTGTTATAGAAAGAGAATTCTTGGTTTCTTTGCAGCCATTCTGAAGAAAAAATGGTCCCTTTTCCAAAGGCATGTCTGTAAATAATCCAGGAAAAGAGACTATCTGATTGAATTCATTTGACTGTGGACAATTTAGTCAAATTCGCTAAAAAAAATAAGGGGTTCTATTGAAGCTTAACTGCCCCAAATGTATAAAGGGAATGTAATCTATATACAGCTATGTAAAAAGAGAGCAGTGTAGAAAGGATGTTAAGGGGGAAAAAATGTGTATGTATCTTTCTGTGTGTGTACATATGTGAGGTTCTAAGGACCTAAACCAACACACCTGGTTTGTAAAACTCCTATTTTGTACGTTTAAGATAAATTGGTTTTGTTTTGTTTTTAATAATGCCACTAAAAATCCATTTGGCTCTTTAATTCAAAGTTGCAAAACTGACAGACCTTTTTGCCAGACACAGGTAATTAATGTTGTTTGGCTTTGGAATTTGGCATTTAACCCTTAAGGGGTAACTCAATGCATTACAAAATTTAAAATGTTTTTAAATAAAGACCAACATCGTGGCTGCAGCAGAGCAGTCAAAATCAGGAGAATAGGAAGAGACTCTGGATTCTTTTTGTTTGTTTGGTTGGTTGGTTGGTTGTTTTTTGTAACAAAACAGCAGATGAGAGCTGTAGTAAAAGATAAGAAATTAAAAAGACAGTGCGCCTCTGAAGCAACAGCAGGGGTGAGGTGCACAAAACAAAAAGAAGCAATGTTAGAAACACTGAGCCTTAAGGTAGCTCTGTGTAATCAGACTGTCACTTTAATAAGGGTACATAAAAACTCTGTAAGCACAAAAGAAACAGTTACACCTTATGTATTAAATGATATGGCTAATATAATGTTATAGAAGTTAAACTATGAAAGGAATGTGCATTTTCCCCAGGACATGTGCAGTGTACATTGTAGAAGGGGTAAAAGAAATGCAAACATACCATACTACTTAATTAGAATTCTATTAGGGCTCCAAAGGGAGCCACAATAGGTTGTGTTTTCTTTTTCAAATCACTGTGTGTTATTTCAAATAGGTTACTTTGGGTGTGTTTTGGAAGCAAGAGTTAAAAGTTAAAAGTAATCAAAACTC